TTGGTTTGAGAATTGTTCAGCGCTGTACAATGAACAACCTTGGATTGTAATTCTTGATTAGTGTGTGACACAAATCCACAGGATTTGTGTTATGCATGAACCCCTAAAATGGCTTGCTGCCTCGTCATTGATTACAATCCATTCTGCAGCTTATTTCTTGTGTGTTTTTTTTTTTTTATATATATTTGTTCTAATGATTCTAATGATTTTCCTCCTCTCTCTCCCTCTTTTTTGTTCACAGGACAACAAGATGGAGATGTGGGTGGTAGATCAAAACAAAGCCGAAGTGAAAAGAAGAGTCGTAAAGCAATGTTGAAGCTTGGAATGAAAACTATCCCTGGTGTTAGTCGGGTTACAGTAAAAAAGAGCAAGAATGTAAGCTTTTCATTTTGATTTATTCATATTGCGTTCTACTCATAAAAACTTTGCTTTTATATATATTTTCTCTTGTTTGCTAGCTCCTAACATTGGATACCACTTAAACCAGATCTTGTTTGTTATCTCCAAACCTGATGTTTTCAAGAGCCCAACATCTGACACATATGTGATCTTTGGAGAGGCTAAGATCGAAGACCTGAGTTCCCAGCTACAAACTCAGGCAGCAGAGCAGTTCAAGGCTCCTGATCTCAGTCATGTCATTTCTAAACCTGAGACTTCAGCCATAGCTCAGGATGATGAAGAGGTAGATGAAACCGGAGTGGAGCCAAAGGATATTGAATTAGTGATGACCCAGGCAGGAGTCTCTAGGTCAAAGGCTGTGAAAGCTTTGAAGGCTGCAGATGGAGACATAGTTTCTGCCATTATGGAGCTTACCAATTGATAGGTTCGTATCCAAAATGCGGTACAATAGAGAATCTAAAGTGTCATGTAATAGAGACGATCCTTGTGGCTTTCCCGGCTGTGGGCTTTCAAGACAGGTTTATTTTCAATTTTGTTATATTGTAATTTCCATGGTGTTTTCTGTTGTGTTTTATTTGTAAACTAGTCTGGAATGCATCTATTGGCAGAGAGCTTTGATTTCCCATATGCCCAGTTTACCATACACAGAACCTTCTTCGCCCAGTTGAATGCTTCTACTAGGAAAGCGAGATTGCATGGTGAAGAGGAAGCATCGTAGAGTACACAGTTGATCTGGATTCCCAGCCACCTATCAAACCCGAGGGAACATTTCTTGATCACAAAAGCGAAGTTTTTCAGTAAAAAAACTGATTTTATTGTTAAAGAGAGGCCTAGAGAAACCCGGCACTACCATGTACACATCACCTACAGCACCTAAAGGTGAACCCAATAGTATGCAGCATCAGTTACTACCTCAGGAGTAAACAAGCTGTTGAATTGACGAGATGTCCGCCAATGCGTAGTGTCATTGGCGAAAACATAGATTCAAAACTACTGTTGCAAAGCATAGTAATCAAATAAGAAACAATCAGGTGCTAAGAACTTGTATTGTCATTTAACAAAGAGAACAGTTCATGAGTAGCCTCGTCCACGCAATGTACAAACTCAACATCTACGAGACATGCCTCCATGAACATGATCATTAAATGATCAATGATAAACTCACAAACAGTGATTTCTTTACCTAACTGCAATACAAAACTCACGCATTTTTGCAAGCAGAAGGCTAAAATCTGCCTCTCCACAGAAGAAGGCAAAATGATTCTGCAGCGACCCTTTCGTCAAAAACAATTGCTAGTGTTTGTATTTTCATATACGAGAGAAACAGAGCTACTTGCCTCACATTTCTAATATCTGGTGCACCCTCTTTCATGAAACCAAAGCCATGAGCGTGCCTGAATAATGAAATGATCCCACCATTTTAACCACTCCTCGTCGCCATATTCAGATATGCCAAGCTACTTTCATTCTCCTTCAAGTTTCATTGAGATCCAATGGACAGTCCTCTTCTTCAAAGGTCATTCAAGCCAGCAAACCCCATTCTGATACCCATTAGGTTTCCAACGCAATCCTTCCATCAGTTCTGAGCAAATAAAGCTGATTTAGTCTCGGAGCTTATTATAATTTATTGTGAGTCATGATTCTGGGACAGCAGAACATGCATATTATTTGCAGGTTACATGTTCTAAAGGCATGCGGAGATAATAGCTGGGATTTACTCCACCAGACTTGTATGGGTTTCTGGGGAGAGATAAATCAACTGAATACTTTCTTATGCCTAATATATTCACCAATATCAAGTGCATCAAATACATCATTCAGTTTAATGCCCATCTATTTGTGAAAAATTACACATTTTCACAAAGCAACCGTTTTATCAAAAGATAATTATGCTAACCAGATATTTAAGACATGATGTGCAGAGTTTTTAAGCCTGGAAACAGAGTTCAGTCGGGAACTTTTCAAGTTCTCGTGTCAGCAATACACTCAACATTCAGTAGCTAGTGTTAGAATGGGCAATAAAAGATCTCAAACAAAAACTCCACCATGAGACAACTTCAAGAAACTACAATTGGAAATGAAACAACATATTCGATTGAGATTTAGAAATACAAACTTACTAACAGCCCCTACTGCTTGTGCAACGGCAAAAGTGAACTTGCTTCATTTTCAATCAAGTGACCATCTATTTTGCCTTGCCAGCACCACCATATATCTCTAGTAAACCTGGGACCTCATCCGCATACTTGATGACATAATTCGCCAAGAAATTTTTCTCACTTAATGACAACAAAGTACTAATCTTCTTATCTCTTTTAATCAGTTCCTTTGACTCCAAAACCTTGATAACGTTATACCTTGGACGAATCCTTTTATCAATTGACATCCCAAGAAAATTGGGACTGTTTATTATAAATTGTCGTTCCAACTCCATAGTGTTGATAAAGAAATCCATTGCAGTCCTGATTTTCTTCTCTGAGTATCCAAATAATGGCGGGTGTCGTTTAAAACTCCTCAAAACCTCCTCTTCACTCCAGCCCAAATTCTTGATAAGTTCAATTTTCTTCTTCCAAGCCGTGTCATTCGATTGTATCCTCACGCTAAGAGCCTGTATAAAGGGCTTATCCCCTGGCTGAAGTCCCAGGTTCTTAAGAGCATTTAGCGCATAAACTATCCTATCAGGCTTATAGAGTATACTTCTTGGTTGCCAGATCAACAGTTTTGCAATCCTATCAGCAGCCACACCCTCTTGTACCAACAAATCAATATTTAGTCGCATTGAGTCCATGGAACCATACGATAAAAAAAACGGAGCACGCTTAAGAAGAGCTACAACGCCTTCACGACTCTGTACAAATGACTTCAAAAGCTTAAAACATGGCTTAATACGAGAACCCAAGTTCCTTGTCAAAATTACCGGATCTGAAACCAATAACTCAGGGAGAAGTCGACCCACGAATCCATTCTTGATGAAGAAGTCGAATTTGGGCTTCAAATTGTCTTGTGTACTGCAGTGAAGCAATCGGGGTCGCTTTTCGATCACTTTGGCAATGTGGGCATCCTTAAAATCGTGAGATTTCAAAAGTTGGATAACGGAAAGGGGCTTTTGGAGATTCTGTTCATCGATTTGGAACTTTTTGGAAACAGAACGAGCTGACTGCAAGGAAAGCCCACATGAGGTAATGAGGTACTGAACAGTAAATGAGGTTGACGATGGGGCAGCGGGTAGTGGTGGTGATGTATTCAAGAAACGTTTTTGAAGCAGAGAAACCAGCAGGCTTCTCATGGCTAAGTGCTGCTCATGTTCTTTGGAAGCAAAAATGCATTGATGACTGAGAATTAGGGTTTTTGGATGCAAGGAAATTGAGTTACGGCGGCTACCAGTTCAACAGAAACGGTTAATTTGTCGCTCATTTTTGCCCTGTTTCCATCGACGGCATTTTCTGTAACAAGGTTACATTTACTCTTTTTTATTTTTTTATTATAAATATATAAACTATTATGAATATCTATATGTATAATAATAAACATTATATCTTATTACATATAGTTCATAATATATATAATTTAATTTTTGTACCACCTTTAAATTAAAATAAATAAAATATATAAATTATATTAAATTAATACAAAGAACTTAAATTTAAATGTGTATAGTGTATTTATATCTTTTTTTTATTCTAAAACACTAATTAAAAGTAATTTAAAATTAAATAAAGTGTTGGTCTGGTGGTTAAGGTATTGCTATTTTCTACAAGATGAGAATATAAATTTGATTTTCAGAATTGTTAAGATAACCACGAAACTTAAACGAGACTAATTTTATCTTTTTAAAAGGGTGTGAGGATATTCAAATTAGCGGAAAAAAAAATACAACCTAAAAAATAAGATAAGATGCTCATTTTTTTAAAAATAAAACGAGAAATATAAATTAGACTATAATAATAATAATAATAAAAACTTGCACTAAAGATGAAATTAATATCTGGATGACATTTTAACAATCAAATGAATGCTTTATATTTAGATTATAATTGTCGGATCTACTTAGGGTCTAATTTGATTTAAAACTTATATAATTGAATAATCATCTCAATTCGTTCTATCATTTTTATAATTAATTTAAAATTAACTAGTTAATAGATCAACTCATCAAGTTTTTCAGATTTGGTCAAGTCCAAGTAAAAAAATGGATAAACTAAGCTGTAGATTTGGAAATAATATCCACCAATTGCATAAACTAAACTGATTTAGAAGTGGCTTGAGCCATATTTATTCATGAAGGGGGAGATTAGGGTTGCCATGGGGTCAGTTTCTAGTGGTCTAATTGTAGATTTTTTTCATTTTTATCTGGATATGGAAATTTGTGTTTTATGTAAGGATGACTGCATAAATCCATCTCCTTTTTTTTTTTTTTTCTCAAAACGAGAACAATCACATCATTGATGCAATAGGTAAATAAGGAAATAATTAACTTCTTGAGTAAGGCTATTCATCCTTTGCAGTAAGTACTGTGATCTGAATATTATTTTTGGACTTGCTATACATCTTCAATAAAATTGAAATATTTACCTCTAATTATCGTCTTTAATGCTTGACACGGATGAAGTTTTTAATCAATTTGATTTAAAGAAACAAAAAGGTGTAATTCTTACAAATGAGTCTCCACTTTAACAATATCTGTACAAGGTGAAAACAAGCACAATACCACAACATAAAGGGCAGCCTCATGCAGTCTTCTAAGGTTAAGACTTGGGCACCATTAGTTTGTGGCCCCGCTCACATGTTTTATTTTGTTTTTTTGATGTTTTTGGATTACCTTAGAAGCACGATCAAGGGCCAGCTACGAGGAGTCTTGAAAGTTGATGGGCCAAATTTGAACTGCCCTTAATTTGAAGGATGGGAGGTCCGGTAAAGCGTACACTGGTGCTTGTCAAGCATTTCGCCCACCAGGAAAGGTTTTCAGGATGTTTTCGCTCTTAACTGTGGGATATCAGAGTTCGACCTCAAAACAGCTTCAGTTTTTTGGCTTCATCATCTGCAACCACACGCGAGCCAATCCTTTTTAATGATAAAACACTCTCAGGAGAATAATATGGTATTTGAATCAGGAAAAAGCATGAAATTAAAAATAACTCTATAAAGAAGTCAGAAATTAAATTGCAATTACTCATGACAACATGCTTGCTGCTCAGAAAGGGTTTAAAACACTGCTGACAACTTCGATTCCGGTCTTAAGCATCTTATACCACCCAAATGACTCAGCATAGAATGCTGCATCATTTGGCTCAGTTGCGAATAGCAAAATGGCTATAAATGCAACCGGAAAGAACTCTGAACTAGAAATGGACACATCCAAGTCACTACCAATCAAATCATTATGCACTGCGCACATGTAACTATAGAAAACAAAAGGTTGTCCTCCAACTTCATTATTAGCTCGATAGCGTAAATTTAGCTCCGTAGCAAACATTTAATGTTTTTCAACTGAAAGATAACACAGCCATTGAAATACTTGTTCCATTGTTTGTAAATAAGCATGCAATCTGTGTCAAGTCTGGAAAGTTTAAACAACTGTTGCATGTGTCCATTGAAGATTAGAAATGACATACACAAGTTACGGTTAAATAAACAGGTGCATCTAAACCATAGATACGAAGAAGTGGTCCCGTGGAGGCTATACTCTAACGTCAATGAAAAACCAAATTAGTGTCTTCCACCTTTTAGTTCTTATACATCTTTATCTTTTCCATCACGCAACTAAGTAAATCAAGGGTTTGTTATTTGATTATTATCCGCCAAATAATGGCAAAATAATCAACAAAAAACACCAGTAGAGGGTGCGAACCTGTATGCTTTGATTACAAGAAAACTTCACCATCCAAATTCCTAAATTCCAACCACGCTAATGATATACATTTGTTGAGATTATTAAGCTTCTCGACAACAAGCTTAATGAAAAAACTAGTGACCAAATGGCAATTTGCAATCTATGCATTCATTCATGCCTACAATCTAAAATATGCTTCTCCCAAGTCCTAACCAAACTCATTGTTTGAGTCCATTCATACCACCTTCCTGAATTTGTCAACACCGTAGCCGGTATTTTATATGCACGAGTGATAACACTAAGAAGACTTAAATCTTTCATATCTGACACCCTCTTCTATATTGAACTATAGCAAAATAGCCATTCAAACTCCTAAACTTATTTCCGGATCAGAGCTTGTAGGAATCGAAGCAACAAGGTCTAAAGAAGTTCAGGGTAGTTTTTGTTTTTTCCTTTTCCTTTTCCTTTTCTGTTCTATCATTGAACACCATAAATATGAACTTTAAACAACAATTATTTACACAAGCATCAGAACCCTTTTAGCATATGAGCAAGTGAGGGAACCAACCATCGAGCATGTTTTATATAGCTGATCTTATGTATAGTGCTCAAATTAAGATTCCCAAAGCAAAACTCTCTACCAAAAATGAGAATACTTGACCATTCGGTTTTATTCTGAAAAGCAATGGAAGAATTATACGATCACATAATTTTATCAGGACTTAGTTGTGTTTACTAAAGATTTCCCAGAAAATTCTAAGAATTACACGGTGAATGATCTTCAACATGAAATGCTGGTAAAAAGAAACGCCAATAGATTACATAAAGAAAGAATTTGTAAAATCACAAAAAAATGAACTCGCATTATTCAATCAATATATTGAGCGATATAAATCAAAACAAGTTGAGTACCTTCATTGCTATCCATTATCATCCTTTTCCTTTGTCAATTCCTCCATACATCTCCAGTAAACCAGGAACTTTATCCTCATACCTGGCAACACATTTCTCCATGAAATCCTTCTCGCTTAATTTTAGAAAAGTAGCAATGTTTGTGTCTCCCTTAATCAGCTTCTTTGACTTCAAAACCTCCAAAACATTGCACCTCGGAAGAATCCTATTGCCAAAAGAGTATTTAAGAAGCGCAGGATTGGTAACTATAGTTTGCCGTTCCAACTTCATCTTATTCAGAAAGAAATCCATCATGCTCCGGATTTTCTCCTCTGAACTTAACAATAGACAAGGGAATCGCTTAAAAGCCCATAAAACCTCCTCTTCGGTCCACCCAACACTCTTAAACATATCAATTTTCTTCCTCCAAGCAGATTCATTCATTCGTGCAATCACCGTAAGAGCATGTATATACATTGTCTTGTCCGGTTCGATGCCCAGTTGCTTAAGATAAGTGACAGCATAAACCATCCTATTATTGCTATGTTGTAAAGATCTTGGCTGCGACAATAGCAGTTTTGCAACCCTATCAGCGGTCACTCCCTCCTTTTTCAACAAGTCAAGGTTTGGTCGCACGGTAGCATTGAAACTAAAGGACATTAAAAAAGGCGCACGACTAAGAGCAGCTAAAATATTCTCATTGCTTTCAAGAAATCGTTTCAAAAGCTCAAAACATGGTTTGATATGAGCATGTAAGGAGGCTCTAAAAATTCTCGGATCCAATACAGCAAGCTGAGGCAGAAGCTGACCCACAAAGCCATTTTTTATGAAGAAGTCAAACTTAGGCTTGAGATTACCTTCTGTTCTGGAACGTAGGACAGCAGGCCACTTTTCGATCAATTTGGCAACGTGGGCATCCTGAAAATCGTAAGATTTCAAGAACTGGATGACGGATTGAGGCTTCTGAAGGTTATTTTCATCGATTTGGAACTTTTTGGAGACGGAAAGAGCAGATTGTAGAGGAAGCCCGCATGAGTTGACGAGGTATTGAACAGTAAAAGCAGATGAGGCATTGGGAGGCCGTGTAGTAGATGATGTTTTCAGGAAACGTTTTTGAATCAGAGAAAGCAGATTTCTCAATGGTATATTGCTATTAATATTTCTGTTCATTTTTAGTGGGAAGCAAAATGCTGAAAGATTGATGACAGGAAAACAAGAAGAAGAAGAAAAGGGGTTTTCGTTAGGGTTTCTCCCTTGGCAGCTGGCGGTCAGCTAAATTTGACTGGCCCAGGTGGGCTTGTTTGGTGGCCCTTTTTTTTCAGAGAGAAACTGGAGTGAGAGGGGGGGGCAGAGAGCCTTTAAATTAAACCCATTGAGTAGGGATTGCAATGGAGGTCGAAGGAGGCTCAGGCACCCTCAAGTTTTCGCATCTATAAAGATATTTTGGCTCGGTTTATAATTGAGGTGAAACCTTGTTCTTAATTTTTTTTAAATAATTTTATATTTTTCAGTATTTAATGATAATTGTGTGTGTAATTTTAATATATTTTTAAATAAAAAATATTTTAAAATGCAATATTCACCAGAATTCCAAACAGGTGCTTTAACTTTTATGCCAACTTTTATATGTATAGAGTTAAACTTGTTTCTATGTTCATGTTATGATATGAAAAACTTAATTTTTTAAGCATAAAAAAAATATATGGTTAATTTTTTTGACATTATCATTAAATCTCAAAATATACTTGTTTTGGATTTCTTTTTTTTAATAAGTTTTTTTATTGATGTATCTTTTATAATGTAATTTTTTTAATTAAAACCATTGATTTTGTTTTTAAAATTTTTGTTATGATTTTTAAAACAAGTTAACATAAAAATAGACATTTATATTAAAATATAACAAAATCATAAATGTAATATGTAATGAAATCATCTTCAAAATCTATTTAAACTTTTTTTATATAATTTAAACTCGATTTCAATATATTTTTAATAAATAATTTATTATTTATATTATTATTATTTTCATATGAAATACATAACAATTGCAAAAAATTATTAAAATTGAAATAAAAAATTATACTAGTATGTAAAAACTATGTTAAAAACAAAAAAGTAAATGAATCTAGTAAATTATTTAGAGTGTAAATAAAAAACAAAAAAATAAAAATAAAAATAAAAACTCAGCAACAACTAGGGCACACCTGACTCACCAGGAGCCAATCCTTTTTAATGATAAAACACTCCCAGGAGAATAATATGGTATTTGAATCAGGAAAAAGCATGAATTTAAAAATCACTGTATAAAGAAGTCAGAAATTAAATTGCAATTACTCGAGATTATATGCTTGCTGCTAAAATAGGATTTAAAACATTGCTGACAACTTCAATTCATTATGCACTGCGCACATGTAACAATAGAAAACAAAAGGTTGTCCTCCACCTTCATTATTAGATGAATAATGTAAATTTACCTCCGTAGCAAACATTGATCGTTTTTCAACTGAAATGTAACACGGCCATTGAAATACTTGTTCAATTGTTTCTAAACAAGAATGCAATCTGTGTCAAGTCTGGACGTTTAAACAACTGTTGCATGTGTCCATTGAAGTTTAGAAATGACAAACATATGTTACGGTTAAATAAACATGCGCATCTTCACCATAGATATGAAGAAGAGGTCATGTGGGAAGTTATACTCTACCGCCACTGAAAAACAAAATTTGTGTCTTCCCCCTTTTAGTTCTTATACATCTTTATCTTTTCCATCACGCAACTTGGTAAATCAAGGGTTTGTTATTTGATTATTATCTGCCAAATAATGGCAAAAGAACCAACAAAAAACACCAGTAGAGGTTATGCTTTGATTAGAAGAAAGCTTCACCATCCAAATTCCTATATCCCAACCATGCAAATGATATACGCTTGTTGAAATTACTAAGCTTCTCGATAACAAGCTTAATGAAAAAACTAGCACCAAACGGCAATTTGCAATCCATGCATTCATTCATGCTACAATCTAAAATATGCTTCTCCCAAGTTCTAACCAAACTCATTGTTCGAGTCCATTGATACCACCTTCCTGAGTATGTCAACACCATAGCCGGTATTTTATATGCAGGGGTGATAACACTAAGAGTACTAAAATCTTTCATATCTGACACCCTCTTCTATATTGAACCTTAGCAAAATAGCCATTCAAACTCCTAACCTTATTTCTGGGTCAGAGCTCATAGGGATTGAAGCTACAAGGTCTAAAGAAGTTTAGGGTAGTTTTTGTTTTTTTCCTTTTCCTATCGTGTTCTATCATTGAACAACATTATATGAAATTTAAAAAACAATTATGTACACAAGCATCAGAACCCTATTAGCTTATGAGCAAGTGAGGGAACCAACCAAAGAGCATGTTTTATATAGCTGCTCTTATGTTTTAGTGCTCAAATTAAGATTCCCAAAGCAAAAATCTCTAACAAAAATGAAAATAGTCGACCATTCAGTTTTACTCTGAAAATCAATGGAAGAATTATACGATCACATAATTTTATCAGGACAGTTGTGTTTACTAAAGATTTCCCAGAAAATTCTAAGAATTACACGGTAAATGATCTTCAACATGAACAAATGCTAGTAAAAAGGAACTCCAATGGATGACTTACAGAAAGAATATGTAAAATCACAAGAAAATGAATTCACAGTATCAAGTAATAGATTGAGAAATATAAATCAAAACAAGTTGACACAATACCTTCATAGCTATCCATTGTCATCTTTTTCCTTTGTCAATTCCTCCATACATCTCCAGTAAACCAGGAACTTTATCCTCATACTTGGTATCACATCTCTCCATGAAATCCTTCTCGCTTAATTTTAATAAAGTAGCAATGTTTGTGTCTTTTTTAATAAGCTTCTTTGACTTCAAAACCTCCAAAACATTGCGCCTCGGAAGAATCCTATTGCCAAAAGAGTATTTAAGAAGCGCAGGATTGGCAACTATAGTTTGCCGTTCCAACTTCATCTTATTCAGAAAGAAATCCATCATGCCCCGGATTTTCTCCTCTGAAGTTAATAATATATAAGGGAATCGCTTAAAAGCCCATAAAACCTCCTCTTCGGTCCACCCAACACTCTTAAACATATCAATTTTCTTCCTCCAAGCAGATTCACGCATTCGTGCAATCACTGTCAGAGCATGTAGATACATTGTCTTGTCTGGTTCGATGCCCAGTTGCTTAAGATAACTGACAGCGTAAACCATCCTATCATTACTATGTTGTAAGGATCTTGGCTGCAACAATAGCAGTTTTGCAACCCTATCAGCGGTCACTCCCTCCTTTTTCAACAGGTCAAGGTTTGGTCGCACGGTAGCATTGAAACTAAAGGACATTAAAAAAGGCGCACGACTAAGAGCAGCTAAAATATTCTCATTACTTTCAAGAAATCGTTTCAAAAGCTCAAAACATGGCTTGATAGAAGCATCTAAGGACGTTCTAAAAATTACCGGATCTAATACGGCAAGCTGAGGCAGAAGCTGACCCACAAAGCCATTTTTTATGAAGAAGTCAAACTTAGGCTTGAGATTATCTTCGGTTCTGGAACGGAGGACAGCGGGCCACTTTTCGATCAATTTGGTAATGTGGGAATCTTGAAAATCGTAAGATTTCAAGAATTGGATGACGGATTGAGGCTTCTGAAGGTTATTTTCATCGATTTGGAACTTTTTGGAGACGGAAAGAGCAGATTGTAGAGGAAGGCCGCATGAGTTAATGAGATATTGAACAGTAAAAGAAGAAGAAGATGATGAGGCATTGGGAGGTCGTGTAGTAGATGATGTTTTCACGAAACGCTTTTGAATCAAAGAAAGCAGCATCTTTCTGACGGGTAAATTGCCATTAATATTGGTGCCCATTTTTAGGGGGCAGCTAAATGCTGATAGATTTGATGACAGTAGAAGACGAAGGGTTTTCGTTAGGGTTTCTCCACTGGCTGGCTGGCAATGTACTAATGAGTGTTTGTAAGTCCGGTTGCCTGGAAATATTTAAAAACAAAATTAAAAAAATTATTTTCAGCATCATTATATTATAATAGTTTAAAAATATAAAAAAATAATTTTTAATAAATAAATAATAATTTTTTAAGAAATTTACTTGAGCAGCTATAATTTCAAAAAAAAAATACAAAGAAGAGATTGTGATAATAATTATTTATTTTAAGATGTATATTTTTAAAATATATTAAAATAATATTTTTTTAATTTTTAATATTAACACATAAAATATTAAAAAATTAAATAAAAAATATATGGCTTAAATAATAGATATTAAAGGGATAATTGCCTATATCTCTTAAAAAAATCCAAAAAATTGATTAAAATATTTTTAAATATATTTATCCCTGAAAAAATCTTCATACCAAACCTAAATATTTAACTTTTACTTAATATCATTAACTAATTTTGTTTTCTTCATACGATTTTTTTTTGAGATTTTAAAAAGAACAAATAAATATTAATACATTCTACTTAAAAAAAATATTCAACAAAGTTATATATCTATAATATTATATTTAAAAATAAACTGTATATAAGTATATAATATAATAAAAAAATATTCACTATTAAACTTTTTATATTTCATTTTTTATTTAAAATGATCAAATAATCATATTTAATGTTCTATATATACTAGATAAATTTTTTAAAAATTAAAAAAGTTATATTTAGTTTATTTTATTTGATATAGTAGTCAAATAATAAGAAATATTTTTTTAACTTATCTTTTATGTCATTACCAAATATAAAAAGAATAATTTATTTTTAGAAATTTAATGAAAATTATTTTCCAAAAAAAAATGCTTTTAAAGAAATAAACTGGCCTTATGCAGCGAGTAAAGTGATATGTCTCTTTTAAAATAAATTTCTAATATATAATCAGAATTCTTATATTTGTTTGTAAAAAAAAAAGTTTTTTAAGTGGACTTATTTTAGAACTAGTTTTGAGATTAAATTCGTTTTTAATTGAGTCGTAATCTGATGATTACGTTCATAAAAAATATATATTTTTTATAATAATTACAATTATAATAATGCGAGATAACAACAAAAAGGAAATTCGTCAAGCTGTCCCCCGAGTTTAATAACCATGAAAGAAACTCCACTCTAATATTTTGCTAGCTAGAGATTTGCATTCTAAAAATATATTATGGATAAATCTATTTGGAGCTTTAATTATATTTTAAAAAAAAAAAAAACAAGGACAAAGTTTGAAGGAAGCCCATTTATAATGCCAGGCACGCTTAAATGGTGAGCTTGTTATCCATCCTAATTAAAATTTAAGTTGATTTTTTTAAAATTAAAATAATATTATTTTAATTAACTTCGATTATCCTACAAAATCTATGACTGGATTATCTACCAAGCAAGTTTCCTTTTAACGGTTAATTTATTTTTATGTTTTAAAGGATTAAATTTTTATTTTTTTATTTTCATATTATTTTAATATATTAAAATCAAAAACAATTTTTTAAAAATAAAAAAATATTTTAATATATTTTTCAATAAAAATACACTTTAAAAAATATTTAAAAAATAACCTACCGTACCTAAACAATTTATAAAACAAGTAAATAGAATCACATCCAAATTACAAATTGAAAGCATGGAAGAGTTGGCGTTTACTTTTTGAGTTCGTTGCGAGCTGGTAACTTCATATCTTTTCCCGAGTCGGTGCCTGTCTCTTCATACGCGCGGGCGCGCGCGTATACGTATGTAGGTGGCCCATGAGAAAGCGGAGGATCCCTACATGACTTGCAATTGTTAACTCGCAGCATCGCCCCCTCCATGCTAGCTCTTGAGTATTTTTCTTTCTCCGTGTTGCACAAGGATATCAAATCATGTAGTCCCACGGATTATATATATGAAGCCAACCCTGTTTACTTGCTAGTATTTGCACAGACATACAAAAGAAAGATTTGTTTTTAGGGTTTTGTGCCCTTGGCTTGGGGCGAAATCGCTATATCACCATTCACAATGGTTGTTTTTATCAGTCCGTGAAGCCAGCAATTTATGGTTTCCGGTTTTTTATCAGTTTCTATAGGTTTCTTGCTTAATGGTAAGATTTATCGCAACCAGTTTTTTCCTATCAGATTTTGATCTCTCCATCAGAGCACTTTAATGGAGAGGTACATTCTAGTTAAAGAACTTGGAGAGGGTGCCTTTGGCAGTGTCAGGCAAGCGATCAATCAAGAGACTGGTGAAGTTGTTGCCATTAAGCAGATCAAGAGAGAATATGATTCATGGGAAGAATGTCTGAGTTTGAGAGAAGTCAAGTCCTTACAGAAGCTGAACCATCCCAAGATTGTGAAGCTCAAAGAACTAATCCTCAGAAACAAACTTTTGTATTTTGTTTTCGAGTACATGGAACAGAACCTTTATCAAGTCATTGCAGACAGGAAAACCCTGTTCTCAGAAGCAGAGGTTAGGGACTTGTGTCGCCAGGTCTTTCAGGGTCTTGCTTACATGCAGAAGCAAGGGTATTTTCACCGTGACCTGAAGCCAGAGAACTTGTTGGTTACCAGAGGTGCTGTCAAGATTGCTGATTTTGGGCTTGCTAGAGAAATCAATTCGAGACCACCGTTTACACAATATGTCTCCACTCGCTGGTATCGAGCGCCTGAAGTTATTCTGCAATCAGATTTTTATAATTCTAAAGTTGATATGTGGGCAATGGGTGCCATCATGGCCGAGCTATTCACTCTTCGTCCACTCTTTC